ACTTAGTACAGTGCCTTGTACACAGTAGGCAATGAAAAAGAAATGTTTGGTGAGTTGAACTGAATTGAATTGTTTGGAAGCTCTTGCCTCTGGATCTTCCCAAAATTCAGAGTTTTAAATTTATAATTCCCTTCTTTTAAATCAATCCTCTGCCCTATCCAAGTAACATCAATTGTGTAGTCTTCTCTGCTTATAGAGGCAGAGTTCAACTACCCAGTATTTGTTGGAACCCACTCTCTCTCCCAAAAGTAGGACCACTGATAATTTCTTGATTTGTGTCAATGATTATTTCTTCCTTCAAAAGGTCAAGGAACCAACAAGAAGTACTATCCTGCATCTGACTGTATTCAACCAGAAGGAAATAGCTCCTGGGCTGTAAATGATGGGGACCTTAGAAGAAAGTGATTACCCATCCTATTTTTTTGTGATAGAGGAAAGGTAAACTAGCACAGTACCTGGCACATAGGAGGAGATTAATAAATGTCGATTGATTGACTGATTGATTGAATGCTATGACATTCACCTTATATTTGGGGAGAGCTGATTATAAAGAGATAAGAGGCTACATAGGATCCCATGGCCTAAAATTCTATAGATGTGTCAGCCCAGGAAGGATAAACACTCTAGATCTGAGTTCAAATCCTGCCTCAGACATTTACTAGCTGTGTGATCCAGGGCAAATTGCTTGGCTTCTCTTAGTCTCAGTTTTCTCATCTATAAAATGAACACAATAATCTCATGGGATTTGAAGAGTCAATTAGGAACAACTCCAATTAGGAGAAAAGGATATACACATATATATGGATGCAAGGGAAAATCACTAACCAACTTGGATTTTATAAACACATGTCCAGAAGAAGAAAGCTAGAAAAGATAAGAAAGGATGAATACAAAATCATGGCAACAGACATAGCCCTGTAAGAATAGGGCCAGGAATGCTAATGTTAAGAATGAACTGAATTTGGAGGAAAGCTAGGGGCCACAAAAAGGTTTTTAGGGTTTTTTTAAGGTTATATTGGAGGAAAGAGGAGGCTCAAAGAGAAGACAGGTCCCTGTGGCTCAAAGTGGATGGGAGATGACAATGGATGACCAAGAGAAATTTCAAATCTTATTTTGTTTCTGTATTTTCTATCCTTCCCCCTTCCCCCCCCAAAAAAAAATTACCTTTGGAAAGGATAGAACAAAAATGACTAACAAAGAGTTTCACATTTAAGATAAGTAGGGAAATAGTAAGAAAGTCCTTTACTGCCCCAGATGAGTTGAAGTCATGGAGCTTGAACTACATCTAGGGCAGTGGTGTCAAACTTAAGCAGAAAAAGGGTCACTAAACCATACATAAAGATCCCCGGGGGTTGCATATATATATATATGTGTGTATATGTATATGTATATATGTATGTATGTATATATATATATATGTGTGTGTGTGTGTGTATATGCATGTATTTAGCAAACTACACATGTTTATATATATATGTGTATATATATGTATGTATGTATGTGTATATATATATATATATGTATGTATATGTATGTATTTAGCAAACTACACATGTTTATAGATCTTTTTTAAGGATATATCAACACATTAAAATCAGATAGCAACTACACTTGAATCCAGTTCCGGTTCAAGCCCTTGGGAGTGTTGTGGGCGGCATGCTGCCTGTGGGTCAGTGTTTGACACATCTGTACCAAGGCACTGAAAGACCTGGTAGGATTTCCTACTATCTGCTTCCTTTACTCCTATGCAGGTTCTGCTGAATGGAGCTAGAGGAAGATATGCAACCATGCCAAGACCACTACAAATCTATGTTTTCTATTACCACCTGGGTCATGACAAACCTTTAGGGCAAGGCCAACCTTTTGTTCCTCTCTAATTGATTCTCTGCCCCACTCCCCACAGAGGCTGCTCCTTCTCTTCTCTCCATACCACTCTCTTACACAACCTTCTTAGCTGAAGGTACTTTAATGAAAAAATCAAGTCCATTGGCTGTGAGCACCCTCTCCTCCCTTTCTCTACATTTTACATCCCCATTTTTTCCTCTTATTTTGGTCTCTGATAAAAAGGTAGCTTTTTTCCTTGTTAAGGTCAGCTCTTTTCCACATACCTTTGATCCCATTCCCTCCCATATTCTTCACCATATTTCTTCTACAATCATCCCTGCAAAAGAAAAAAACAGAGCAAAATAGTATGCTTTGATCTGCATTCAAACTCCATAGTTTTTTCTCTGGATGTGGATAGCATTTTCCATCATGGGACTTTCGGAGATGACTTAGATCCTTGCATTGCTGAAAGGAGCAACGTCTATCAAAGTTAGTCATCACACAATGATGTTACTGTGTACAATGTTCTCTTGATTCTGCTCATTTCACTCAGCATCTCTAATGTTATTCTTGTAGCAATGATGTAGGAATGTGAGCTACCCAATGATATGGTTAAGTAGACTGAATAGCTAGATACAAAGTGCAGACATTAATGGTCTGATATTAACTTGGAGGTAGGTTTTCATTGGGTTGTCCCATGGATCTGTATTTTAAACATTTTGTCAATGACTTGGAAAATCATGTAGACAGTGTTGATCAGAAGTGCAGATAATTTCAATGGGGAGGGAGAGCTGAGATGAGAGTCAGGATCCAAAATTATCTTGTTAAGTGCTAGGACATTGGCCTTGATTGAATAATGCACAAAAGAATAGGAATAAGAATGAAGTCTTATTATTGGGTTCAAAAAATCAATGTCGGAAGAACAATATAGAGGTGACATGGTTAATAATGATAATAAGTGACATTTACATAGTATGTTAAAGTCTGCAGAATACTTTATATACATGAGCTCATTTGATGTTTACAATTCTATAAAATAGGTACTACAGGTATTGTTATCCAAAATTTTTGTTCAATAATTGCAGCTGTGTCTGACTATTTGTGACCCCATTTGGGGATTTCTTGGCAAAGATACTCAAATGGTTTGCTATTTTACAGATGAGGAAACTAAGGCAAAGTTAAGTGATTTGTCCACGGTCATAGAACTAGTAAGTGTCTGAGGCAAGATTTGAACTCAGGAAGATGAGTCTTCCTGACTTCAGGCCCAGAACTTTATTCACTGTGAACTGCTCTGAAATCTAAAATATATAGATGTTGAAACTGAGGCTCATATAGGTTGTCCAGGGTCACATAGCTATGAAAGGGTAGAGGGTGGCATTTGAATCTGGGTCTTCCTGCCTTCAAGTCCAACTCTCTACCCACAGCATCGTGGTGTCTTTCACAGAAGTTCATCTAAAAATGATCTGGGGTTTTTGGTGGATTATAAACTCAACATCAATCGACAGCAGCTAGGTATGTAGTAGATAGGATACTATATCAGGGGTCAGGAATACCTGAGTTTGAGGGTTGTTGGGAGAATCAAATCAAAATATGTGTTAAATATTTTGCAAACCATAAAGTACCATATAAATGATAGCCATTATATGGCATCCCCACAAAAAAGGTAATATAATCTTAAGTTCCATATGGGCATTATTCCCAGGACTGAAGCTCTAGTTCTGCTATACTCTGCTCTGGTCAGGCCATATTTGAAATGTTATAATCAATTCTGGGTGCCACTGCTTAGGAAATGGCATTGATAAGCTGGACAATGTCAAGAAGATGGTAAAGAGACTCAAGTCTCTCTAATGTGAAAATTAGCTGAAGGAACTGGTGATGTTTTGGCTGAAGAAGAGAAAACTTGGGTAGGCATGATAGCTGTTTTCAAATTTGTGAAGGGCTGTCAAGTGGGAAAAGAATTAGATTTCTATTGTTTTATCTCCCCTGAGGTAAGAATCATGAGCAAAGAATGGATGTTTCAGTTGAAAAAAGGGAAACTGAGATTGATGGCAAGAATAAATTTCCTAACAAATGGAGCTATCCCCAAGAGGAATAGGCTGCCTTAGTAGGTTCCCTTTCACTGGAGGTATTCAAGCAAAGGCTGGAGGGTCTCATATATAGATAGGTTGTGGTGGGGATTCTTTCTGGGACAAGGGCTGGAATAAATGTCTTCTGAGATTCCATTCAACGCTGATATTTTTTGATTCTGTGATCAGTTCTCTGTCTTCTTTTAAAACTATACTTATATTATGCTTAGATACTTATATAGTGAGCCTTTTGCAGAGCTCTTGGATTAGTAAACTTGGTACTAGGCCAATTAATTTTGACCTAAATCTTCTAAAATGTATACTCTTGCTTCCTAACTACACAGGATTATCAATCTCTGCTCATGATAAGCAATGTAATACTTTCTGTCAACATAATTTCTTCTGAGGAGTATAAGGTTCAGTATTAATAAAAAAATTTTTTTCTAAATATCTGTATGGTATGTTCTGTAAATACATCAACGCTAACTGAAATAGTGTTTCATTTTTTAAAGTCCATGATACACACACCCTGAAGCACTTGCCAAGCACAAACTGGGATCATCTGTTTAGAAAGGCACTGAGGAGATGTACTCTTCAACTCTGCTGGAGAGGGGCACCGTGGACAAGGAGCACCTGGTCTCTGAAAAGGTTACAGGAACATCCCACTGGGCAGCCATTTGTATACAGACCTCATGGCAGCTTGAGAGAAGATAAACTAGCTAGCCTCAGGAGACCCAAGCAGATTGTTAGATAATTCTCTAATTGTTCATAAAATGACTGAGGGCTTTGGTTTGAGATTTAGCATCTGGAAATAAACAAATGAAAACAAAAATAAAAGAGAGGCTGCTACCATTTCAGCAGTTAATAAGTTTCTCTTCCCTTTCAACTAGAAATTGACAGGCTGAGAACACAGGGGCTTACTATAGCATAAGTCAGCATATACATGTATATGTACATATATACATGTATATGATGACAATTGGAATTTACTTTTTTCTCTCCCTTTCCATTTGCAATGTGACAGAGAAAAAAAATTGTTAACTTATAAAATCCCCCATGTTCTTTCTATCTCAAACTTTCACCTCTGACTCTTGAGAGGAATACGCATCATTGAAATATGCTAGAGTTTTACTCTAGTTCTTTATTTGTATTCTTTTAGTTCATACATTCTTTATCATATGACCTCAGCCTTATTTCATTAGATGACATCTCACACTTGAATATGCACAGATTCATTTCCATAATAACACCATTTCCCAACTGCTTTCATGTCTTATGTGAGGGCATTTAAATTATCACCTATCAACAACAAATTATATGTCCAGTCCAGCTCCTTTAGCTATATGAATTATGTTTCTTTCACTTTATTCTCCTTTAAGAGAAAACTAATTACATCTTTTGAAAGTCCTGGGGTTGGCTTTTCTTTATCCAGAGAAGCATCTCTTTCTTCCAGTGGACAGAAGAGAACATCTTTAGAATGATTTTGTATGACTGAATATCCATCTCGGTTTAAAATCACCTGGGCCATCTGAAAACTGCGGAGTGCATACTTTTGATTCTCTTGACTGGTCAGTTCTGTGATTTTCTGAGAAAGGCGATGAGATGCTGTCTCTGAGAGTCCATCCCTTGGAGGGGGTAGTGTCTGACCATATACTTCATAGAAACGGTCCAGAGATTTCCTAAGTCCATCATCTTCCATGGTCTCTGGTTGGTTTGCCATGGAGTGGTTAAGCCAAAAGTTCTCACTGGTCCCAGAATCATTCTGTCGTGAATTTAAGTGGCTGCCTTCTAAAAAATAAAACATTTCAGTAATTGATTTCACATTTAAAAATATTAGAGGGCAGATCAAAATCAGATTATGCCACTTGGTTACAAGCTCTCCCATGTCATTCCCTGCCTCCTCATATCATGTTGCTGATATATCAGCAGCTGATTCTTGAATGTTCTCCCTTTGCATTCCTAGACTAATACCATGATCACTCTTTGAATTTCCAGGGTAAGATGTTAAAGACGTCCTGCAGAAAACTTAAACTCAATATATCTAAAATTGAGCTTATTATCTTCCCCTTAACTTCTATCTTCCTAACTTTCCCATTATTGTTCAGAATACAACCATCCTCCCAGCAACCTGGGCTCACAACCTAGTTGTCATTCTTGACTCCTCTCTCTCTCTCTCTCTCTCTCTCTCTCTCTCTCTCTCTCTTCTCTCTCTCTCTCTCTCTCTCTCTTTCACACACACACACACACACACACACACACACACACACACACACACACACACACACACACACACTCATATCCAATCAGTTGCCAAGTCCTGTCATTTCTTCTCTCATAAAATCTCTCAAATATGCTCCCTTCTTTCCTCTGACACTGCCACCACTTAAAAAGGTGATGGTTTCCCACTGCATCCAGGGCCATCTCCAGTTGTCCTGATCTATATCTTGCCACTGGTCCCAGAGGGCTCTGGAGGAAGGAGTGAGGCTGGTGACTTTGCACAGCCCTGCCTGATTTAAATCTAATTCACTTGCAAGTCATGGCATACCCTTTCTGTTGTCATGGTCCTCTTTAAGAACAAAGGACTAACAACAAAAATCCTCATCACCTCACATCTAGACTGATGTAACAGTTGACTAATTGTTGACTGATGATGGTGAGGAGGAGGAGGAGGAGGAAAAAGAAAGAGAAAGTAATGATATTATTATTATTAGTACTACTACTACTATAACTACCACTACTACTACTACTACCACCACCACCACCACCACCACCACCACTACTACTACTTATTACTACTCCTAATGACTAGCATTTATATAGTGTCTACTCTGTGTGCCAGGCGCTGTGCTAAGTGCTTTACAAAGATTATCTCATTTGAACTTCACAACAACCCTGTGAGGCAGATGTTATTATCCTAGCGCTTAGTATAGTACCTGGCACATAAATGGCCCTTAATAAATGTTGATTAATTATTCCTATTTTATAGTTGAGGAAACTGAGGCAAACAGAGTTTAAGTGATTTGCCCAAAGTTATACAGCTAGCAAATGTCTGAGGCTAGATCTGAACTCAGGTCTTCCTGACTCCTAGCCCAGTGCTCTAGACACTGTGTCAAATGCTTATTTAACATTTTAAACTGGATGGGCTATATCTTAAATTCATAAGATCATATATCTAGAAGTAGAAGGAACCATAGACCCCATCTAACCCTTCACTTCAAAGATGAGGAAACTTGAGGCCCAGGTGGGCTTGCCCAAAGTCATTCATACATGTAGCAGTATCTGAGGTGGGATCTGAATTCAGGTCTTCTGACTCCAGAGCAATGGCTTTTAAATTAAGTTTGGAGCACCGGCCCTGAAATCAAGAGGACCTGAGTTTAAATCCAGCCTCAGATCAAACACTTGACACTTACTAGCTGTGTGACCCTGGGCAAGTCACTTAACCTCAATTGCCTTAAAAAAAATTAAGCTAGGAACTTAGATCAGAATCAGATTAAGCTGTGATTAAAGCAGTGAAGGGTTATTAAAATAGTTACTGATGTGCCTAGTTTTTCTTTTCTTTTTTTAAAATTTAAAACATTATTCTTAACCAGTAGTTCTCAAAGCACGGCCTAAAGACTTTTGGAGGTCCCCAAGACCCTTTCAGGAGGTCCACGAAATCAAAATTATTTTCATGATAATACTAAGTCATTATTTGCTATTAAAATTCTCCTCCCTTTTCCAACTGCACATCTCTGTAAGGCCAGATTATTTTCATATGCTTATTTCATCTCAAACAAAATATCATGACAGACTGAATGCAGAAACAGATATGAGAATCTAGCTATCTTCAACTAATCTAAACATTAAAAAGATTTGCAAAAATATGTAAAACAATGCCACTCTTCTCACAAACTTTTTTTTATTTTGGAAAATATTTTCATAAGATATGTTATTTATGTTACCATGTAATAGTTTTGTTATTGTTATTTTAAAGTGAATAAACATTTTAAAATTTATCATTTAATTTAAATTAAATTTTAAATTAATTATTTTTAAATCAGTTTTAATTTTTTAATGTGGTAAATATTGGTAGATATAACCTACATAAAAGCACTTTGGGATGCTCAATAATTTCTTTTTCAATGCTCAATAATTTTTTTAAATGCTCAATAATTTTTAAGAATGTAAATGGGTCTTCAGAACAAAAAGTTTGAGAATTGTTGCTCTATCTTTACCAAGTTTTAAACAAATTTGAAAATACCATTGACAATTTAAATCAAAAAAGAATTCTAATTTTTTAGAGAAAAAGAACAATTGGTATCATTCCTTCACCACGGCTATATCCACACTGCCTGATATCCTCTTGGTTGAAAGTAAAAAATACAAATGAATAGTGGAAGTAAGAAGGGGAACACTTGATAAATTCAGTTCATGGCAATTCAACAAAAATGTATTAAGTATCAATTGTGTTCAAGGCACCGAGATAAGACTACAAAGATAAGAACAAAAGAGTTCCTTCTAATTAAGCAGCTTATATTCTATGTTCGTATACATTGATATTAGGCATTCATTCATTCATTCATTCATTTATTCATTTATTTGTTTATTTATTTATTAAGAGGTAAGTAGGTGGTGCAGTAGATATAGTGCTGGACTTGGAGTCAAAAGACCTCAGTTCAAATCCAGCCCAAGACACTTATTATCTGTGGGATGCTGGGCAAATCACTTAGCCTGTTTGCCTCAGTTTCCTCATCTGTAAAATGGGAATAATAATAATAGCACCTTTTTCTCAGAGTGAGGATCAAATGAGATAATGTATGCAAAATGCTTTCCAAACTTTATAAGTTTGTATAAGTTAACTGTATAAGTTAACATTATTAACATTATTATTGTTATTATCTTATCTTCCTCCCCCTGCCCCCCCCCAAAAAAAACACAGTCTAGGGAGGGGTAAAACGTTATGTCTAAAGGCGACTTATTTAAGTCTTGGCAACTGCAAATATCAGGAAGTTTTTCCAATATCAAGCTGAAACTTACCTCTCTCCAACTTCAAGTGTAAGGGGCATGAATAAGTCAGGGGCTGTAACAATATGATTACCAAGGAACTGGCCAGCATATTGCTATTGCAAACTCTACTTGGTTTTGGACTAGTCGTTTGGAATCCAATGGCCACAAATGTATACCAAAAATACACCAAAAATGTACACCATGCAAAAAATGCCTGGACACTATATTTTATCTAAATATGAAATAGAATTCAGTCCTATATATTATATAAGAAATTTACCTCTTGAGAAATTTCATACTACAGGGAAAGTTTTTCTATGGACCACATAGTCTCAGTTTATTTTCTGTTCTCAGTCCTGAAGTTATAATAAGAGTTGAGTAAAATGTCACATCATATTCTTTTTTTAAAAGACATTGTCCTTGGTCCACTTAAGTCTCTAATCTCTTCTTAAAATCTGCTTAATTCCCAGCTCTAAAATAATTCCTGTCATGTGTCAATTTATAGGCAATCTAGAAGAAAGCTCATGTGTTTCTTTTTCATATCACTAACTGCCTCTTCACCAGCAAAACTAATAGAGAGAAGGAACATGGTCCTTTAATGACCTACTCCCACATGGTGTTGATGTCTATGGTGAAGGTTAATGCATCTTCAATAAATCAGCCAGCTGTGTTTCAGTGATGTATACTCACAGCTATTTTCAAATTCCTACTTTATGTATAGCCAAGAGGAAGGAGATGCCTAATGCTGTGATCCTTAAAGACTCTCAGACAGATAAGTAGGCAAGACTGTTACTATTCAACTTGGCAGAAAGACTATCTTCATTCCCTTTCATTATCTCATTATTTAATTCTCCTCACTCCACCCTCTTCTCCCATCTTTTTCTTATGTCTCTCTCCCTTCATGCTAGCCTTCATTTCTAGAAAACCATGCAAACAATATAATGGGTCTCTTCCTTTTCCTTTGACAAAACCACATTCCTTATTCAGAAAAGAATACAAAGGTACTGGAATGATACTGAATCTACACTTGCTAGTTGAGGATATGGCAGAAGCAATTACAGATCAGATTCAGAAAATCATATAGCTGATTTTGTTTACCTTTAAATGTCATAAAAAGTTTCCCCCCCCTTCCTTTCAGTTTAAGGATGTATGAAATGCTTGTGTGAACAGAAATCTGACATCTGTTTCACTATATTAAAGCCTCCTATGAGCACAGATCCAGTTAAGTATGACTTCCACTGTACAGGGTAATAGAAAGAATAGAATAATGGCAGAGGAGTAGAATGAAGCAGGTGAATACTGAGCTTTCATGTAGCCCAAGAATGAATAACACATGTACTTAAAGGACAAGAATAAAAGACAATGAAATCCTTCAATGATTAATCAAAATCATATACTTATGAACACAACATCAATAAGGCTAAACTGTTTACATCACTATACAGTAAAATGATATTTGTAACTCTTGAGAACTGTATTAGTTCTCTATTAGGGCAGTTAGAAGGGGTATACATAGACAGAGGGTGTGGGTATAATTGACTTAGATGTGATGGTATAAAAAATTAAGGGGTGAAAAAAAGGATTATACTGGGAGAAGATGAAAGGGGTAGGCAGAATGGGGTAAATTACATCAGATGAAGAGGCATGAAAGACCTATTACAGTAAAGGGAAACAAGGGAAGGGGGTGGCAAGCATTGTTTAAACATACTTACTCTCACTGGATTTGGCTCAAAGAGGGAATAATATACATACCCAGTTAGGTATAGAAATTTATCTTACCCTATAGGGAAGTAGGAGGGAAA